GCAAGCACATACTTTTTGTTGTTATTTAGAGACAGGGTTTCTCTGTGTAGCCCTGTGTGTTTGGGAACTCACTCTGTAGATCAGGCTGGCCTCAAACTCAGAGATATCCTGCCTCTGTCTCGAAAGTGCTGGGATTAAAGGTGTGAGCCACCAATGCCCAGCTTAGTAAAATTATTTTTAAAGACATTAAAAGAACATGGACAGTAACTACATTGCTATTTAGGATACTCAGACATCTTGACCTTTGCCCTCCCCCACACACTCCCATTCCACCACCCCCCCTTTTCTATTCCTGAACTTCCCTGCTCACAGTTATTTCCAACATATGAAGCCCTGCCAAATTGTATTTCTGCCTACACTCAGAAACTATTTTTGATCAGTTTTATGCCCAAAGGAGGTATGTAATGTATGAATTTCTTTAAAAATCTAGTATCCATTTCTACAGGAGGTAAAACAAATCAAGATGGAAGCCAAGCTAGGAGATACTTACACTCAATACTGGCCTTCAGTTTGTTCTCACACTTCTGGTGCTCTAGAGGGTTATTTAGAGTCTTACAGACCATTGTGAAATAGTGAGGAACACAGAAAAACAAAAACCCAAAATCAGAAGTGAGTTCCTTTTAGTTAGCATAACTTTTGGGCTACTTTGTTTGTTTGTTTTGTTTTGGATTTTTTTGTTTTGTTTTTCAAGACAGGGTTTCTCTGTGTCACAGCTCTGGCTGTCCTGGAACTCACACTGTAGACCAGGCTGGCCTCAAATTCACAGAGATCTGCCTGGCTCTGCCTCCCGAGTGCTGGGACTAAAGGTGTGTGCCACCACCTCCCAGTCAGCTCTACCAACCTCTATGGGTTTTCTTGTTTTATTTTCGTTAGGGTTTTGTTTGCTTGGTTGGTTAGTTGGTTGGGTTTTGTTGCTGGTGGTGGTGGTGGTGGTTTTGAGACAGGGTCTCCCTGTTTAGCCATGGCTGGCATGGAACTTACAGAGACCCACTTGCCTCTGCCTCCCAGTGTGAGCCACCACACCCAGCTTGTATAGCCTTCTTAGCAGTCATTTTACTTACAGTGTGCATCAGGGTTCCACTGGTGTCGTCACCATCTACAATTCTCTGGGTAGACTGCCTCTTCAGGAGTCATTTGCCCAGAGAGAACAGGTATCTGTTGAGCTTTTAGTGTCGGCACACCTTGCCATTTCTAGATTGACAGCTTCTTCAGCTTCAAGTCTGGGACAGACGAGGCAGAAACCTCTAGTCAGGCACAGTGGTTCAAGTGTGTAATTCTAGACTAGGGAGGCAGAAGCAGGAGGAGTTCAAGGCCAGATTCAGCTAATAGCAAGTTTGAGGCTGACCTGAGCTACATGAGACCTTGTGTTTTGAATTTATTTGTGTGTGTTCACATATGAGTGCAGATACCTGGAGGCCAGAGGCTTGGGATCCCCTAGATCTGAAGTTACAGGTTGTTCATGAGCCACCTGACATGGGTGCTAGGAATCCAACTCAAGTCCTCAGGAAAAGCAGTGGGTGTTATATGCCTCTCCATATAACCTCTCCAGCCCCTCACAGCCTTCTTCTTTTTTTTTTTAATTTTCTTTAGTAAATATACAAAATAATGGGTTTCTGTATGCATTTCTATACACGTATGTCATTTTACCTTGTTGATACTCATCCCCCACCCAACATTGCTCCTTTTTCATGACTCCTCCCACTATTCCCTTCCTCCCTAGATAGTCCCTGTCTACTTCTGTCACGTGTGTGTGCTATGTCCTTTCTCCCAGTCGTTCTAGGCTTTTGTCATATTGCCTCCTCCCCTTGCTAGCTATTATAATACAGCTAGTGCTATACTCAGCTATGTATAGTACTCAATTACTATATACAGCTATAACTCTAGTCCCAGGTTGATTTGATTTCATTTGGTTTTGAGACATGGTCTGTCTGTGCAGCCCAGGCTGGCCAGTAACTAGCAATACTCGTGTCTCGGTTTCTTGAGTACTTGGATTGCAGGCATATACCATGACGCCTGACTCAGTTTTATTTTTGATTGAGCATACAACTAAGTTAAATTTTCTTTTTCTTTGCTATTCTGGGTATGCCCATGACTTTTGAGCCAGCCTGCTCGTCCAGCTAGCAATTTATTGCAGAGGCTTTTCATAGCCAGACTGTCTAAACTTTCAGTTACCTTTATGCTATCCAGTCACCTTTAAAAAAACAAACAAGAAACTCTTTTCTCTTATTTTCATTGCTTTAAAAAATTGTTGATTAGAGATCTCTCCACCACAAGATGGCGCCCCAGAGTAGTTGAAGCTGTGGTTTTTCTCTTTTTCCTTATTAATTCCTACCTTACTGAACCTGGGGTATTTGTCCAAGTCAGGGTATTTCTGTGAAAACTCGGTTGTATTTTTCTTTAGACCATGTCTTCCTAGCTGCATGGAAAGTTGTGTTGTTGGACTGTGGTGCCGAGGACTTAACCACAGAGCTCATATTGCTCCACAGGTGTCCCACCACAGAGTCAACATGGATGGTCCTGTGTTATCTTTGCAACAGACTCTCCCTGAGTTGCTGGGGCTGGCTGGCCTGGAATGTGAGAACCGCCTGCCTCAGTGTCTGAAATACTGGGGGTTATAGGTGTGTAGCACCATTCTTGGCTTCAACATGTGCTTTAACATTTTATGGGAATTCTTAGGCAAATTTTTAAATTGTCATCCCTATTAATGGGTCCAATTTCCACTTTGAATCTATGTTCATAGAAAATAATCTGTAATTTCAGTACGGTTTTAAAGAAATGGAGGACCCAGGAGGTGCCAGTTCCTGGAACTCACACGGTGGAAAGGGAAAATCACCTCTTGCAAGTTGTCCTCTGTCTTTGCACACAAGCGTGCGTGCGCACGCACGCTCGTGCGCGCGCGCACATGCACACACACACACACACACACACACACACACACACACACACACAGAATAAGTACATTCTGAAGGAAAGGCACTTTTTAAATGTCTTTTGAGGTGTTTGAATTCATGAATCATAATTTTTCATTTATGATCATCATCATTGTTGCTGTTAGTTTAGTGATATGGAGTCTTTTGGTGTAGCCCACACTGGACTCACATAGTCCAGTCTGGACTCAAACTGCCTCAGTTGGCTGAGTGCTGGGGTTATAGGCAAGGACCAACATGCCTGGTTCCCAATGTTGGGCATATTCTTCAGCTAATCAAAATGTGTGTATTAACCATCAAATATGTGTACAGTCAGAACTTATATTTTCCTAGGCTTGATAGGCAAGTAAGAAAAATGTTGTTATTTTGCCTCACTAGAAACAGTGTCTTTAAATTTTTATACACTATGATCATGCCCATATGCTTTCCACATAAAAAAGGCTTGGAAATAACTATTGAATAAGCACAGAAGTCATTACCTAATTTGAAACAAAAAATATATTTTAAAACAATTTTTAAAGAATTATTATTATTGCTGGTCAGGGATTTGCCACAGCTCACATATAGAGGTCAGAAGGCAATTTTGTGGGGTTGGTTCTCTCCTTCCACCATTATGTGGGATCAGGGCATTGAACTAGGGTGGACAGGCTTGATGGTGAGTTTATTTACCCTCTGAGTCATCTGGTAGCCTACAGAAGGCTACATTTTACCAATTAAAAACTTTCAGTTAGGATTTCCACTCTAGTTATGGCATTTGTTTTGCTTGTATATTAACTCATCCAGTGGACAAGTATCTGCTTTCATTCTAGAACTGGTAGTTAGAGGGCAATAAAACCAACTGCTTTAAAATCACATTAGTAATAGAATAGGATGAACAAAAGCCCAGGGTAGACATCAAATATACAATATAGACAATAATGGAACTACTTTAGTCCAGATAGCTTTGGTACTTTCTTGTTTTGTTATGTTTGGTAGTTTTGTTTTAGACAGCTCAAATTGACCTCAAACTAACAATCCTCCTGCCTCAGACTTCATTGTGTTGGGATTATAGACAGGTGCTACCACATTCAGCTAAAATTTCAATCCCCAGAACCCACATCAGAGGCGGCAGATAGGACCAGCCCCGAGAAGTTGTACCCTGACTCCCACATGTCCAGTGGCAAATCCCACTCCAGTCATGATAATGAGAATTGTTTGTTTATTTGGTTTGGTTTTTCAAGACAGGCATAATGAGAATTCTTTTAATTGTTTAAATTAATGTTGGGCAGTGGTGGCACATGCCTTTAATCCTAGCACTTGGGAGGTAGAGGCATGCAAATCTCTGAGTTCAAGGCTAGCCTAGTCTACAGAATGAGTTCCAGGACAACCAGGGCTACACAGAGAAACCCTGTTTTGAAAAATCAAAACAGGCAAATTTGTGTGTGTGTGTGTGTGTGTGTGTGTGTGTGTGTGTGTGATA